GTTGGCACTGTCCAAAGTTTACAAGAAGTGGTATCTATATATCTAAAGAAATGAAGCAATCCTTAGTTTAACTCAGAACAGACGGGTGCTCTCCTGGACAGAGAAGATCATATTTCAGGATAAAACACCAAACCGTCTAGACTCTGAAAAACAACTTGAAGTGAAAAAACAACTGTAAGAATTAATAACCTCTATGAAGAAAGGAAATCTAGAAGGGTGTTATAAGAATCTTGAAGGGCAGCCTATAAAGCCATCCTCTGATGACAGCAGCTCAAAGGAAATTCTACCTTACACATGAATTCCTTATAAAGGCTTCTGAATTGCGCCTGTCCAACAGATGCAACTGAGGTGCACAAAGACTGAAGGCCTGGCTGTTTTGTCAGTGAGTCCACTTCTGATATAACCTCGGTGTAATTTATTCAAGCACAATTCCCCTCATTTCATCACATGTATCTTTCATACACCTTTTTAAGTGTAAGTCTGGGGTGTTTTGTAACTTGGTTTTGTGGTTTGGTTGGCTGGGCAGGGGTTTTTGCATTTTATTTTAGTATAACTTAATATACTTATATTAGTGTAACTCTGAGCCTAATTTCCAAGGTTTTAAAGTCAGAGCATTGGGTACCTTGATAAATGTTTCACTTGTGTAGCCTATTTTCTGCTGTATCCTAAGGGCAGAAGAATGGGCCCTATTTCACCTCCACTGGGCAGACAGAGAGCTGGTGCAGCAACCAGGAGTACGTGGGAGGGTTCTCTGTGAGAATGTGTCACAGCCACTTATTAATGCCCTGTGTGCTATTCCCAGAAACAGGCTTTAGCAAGGCTGAAAAAACATCAAAGTGACCTGAAAACAAATTATTTAAAGATACCTTTAAAGTTTAATATAATTTATTTTTTAAATTGTTTAATGATTAAATACTTATTAAGCAAATAATTTAAAAAATTGTTAAAAATATATGTACTCCATTCCACAGTGTCTGTTCCTGGCCCAAAGACTGCTAGTTTCTTACTGCTTCAAGGTTATGCTATCTTCATTTAAGAATAATGCCAGCTCAAAGAAGATGAAAAGGGAAAGCAACTGGATCAGATCTTACTGTATTTCCCATAGATAGTTGGGGTTGGGTTTTTTTGTTTGGTTTGGGTTTTGTGTTGGTTGGTTGTTTTTTGGTATTGGGATTTTCGAGGTTGGATTATTTTTGTTTGTTTGGGGGTTTTGGGGTTTTTTTTTGGTTGGTTGGTTTTGTTGTTGTTGGATTTTTAGTTGCGGTTTTGTTTTTTTTTGCAGTGGCACATTATCTTCCCTGCAGGTGCATCTGCCATAGAGGACTCTTGGTTGCTAGGCAGTGAGTATCCAGTTTGAAGACTTTATCGGAAACGCTCATCTCAAAGCTACACTAGGTCAAGTGATAGCCTCACACCCACTAGACAACAGTTGAAAACAAGCCAACAAGTAGCTCAGGCCCAGACCAAGCCCAGAGAAGTCCCAAGAACCTGCACTGGCAGGTCGCTACAAGGCATATTACTGCCTGCTACTAATGGAAAAAACATATTTACCCTATCCTCAGTACTGGGTACAGTTTTGGCCTCCATCTCAATAAGATAGAGTGGTGGGAGACATGAGCAGCTAAACTGATCCAAGGGGAATGGCGCACAGTTGCCTTTACAAAGTGGGGTTGAAAGGCAAGATCTCTTCCATCTGGAAAGGAAAAGGCTGAAGGGTATATACATCAAACATTTTCAAAATCATGAAGGCAACATATCCATCCAAACACAGAACTGTTATTTGTATAATTCTGCACTACCAAAACACACAGTAAAGGGAATAAGTACAGATGTATCTAACATCCTTCATATATCAAGTAGAACGTAGAAGAACCATGAGGAGAATGGATAACCAAAAGTGACTAGGCTCACACAACTGCCCTAAACAGGATTAGCTTAAAATGCCACTGTTGGAGATCAAATATTGGCCTACGTGGACCACTGCACCCAGCAGGTCAGTTCTGTTCTTAACAATTCAAGCTGTATGAGAAAAAAGGGAGATGTCCTTGGGCTAAATATATTGTTCCTTTGCTACCAGGTCAACTCCAGACATTTCTTCCCTGTGGGATGATTCTGCTCTCCCATCCAATCACGGATGTGCCCCTGTCTCCTAACAGAGCTGTACAGGAAAGGCAGAAGCAGGCTGCTACTGCTGCCAGAACAATTAATATAGCCCATAGCCAAGCCCAAATTTCCTGACAGCAAAAAAGCCTGCAGGCTAGATTAACTGTATGCTCTAGAGTAGTTGAGCTGTTGGTGAGCATCACTGAAACTGTAGACCACTCAAACAGGTTTATCCTACGTAAGGGCAGAGACCTGGACCTACACTTGTCAGAGAACATATTCTGCAGTGACACTTAATTCAAAGGTTGATTAAACAACTTCCCAAGGACCAACTAACTAAGAATTGCCTTGGGTATGCTGGAGTTAATGTCGATAAACTGTGAAGGCCTTGTTAATGAGAGAGGTCTGTGTTAATCACAGTAGTAAACAAACAGCTCTTAGCCTTTGTAGGATCACTCCCACAAATACACTGCTGCTCACAGGGGAAGAAAAACAAAAAGCCACTTTTTCTCATCTCCAAAGGAAATATTTAAATGCTCAGAAGCTCAGCTCACTTCACTGTTTAACTTTATCTTACATGCAGTGCTCACTTTTTCATAGCACGAAACTATCCCCAACTTGAATTATACAAAATATACCTGCATATTTTCCTAAGTATAATTATACATTTTCTTTTCCTTATCAATATTTCGTTCTTCTAAGAGAAATTTGAGCAAGAATAAACAGGATACACTTTCCTTTGCCAGTGATAAAACAGTCATTTTAAAAAAAATGAGTTACTGAACTACAGCACAAATCAGTCCATTCTTACTTTACTTATTAGGTACACTAAGTATTTGCAACCTTCACAGCATCCAAGGAGAAACAGCTCCATCTAAAGGTTAATTGGCTGCATATTCTCCTGCCTTGTGTTTTCCTTTTTCACATTAGCTATGTCACAAGTATAATGAAAAGCAGTAGCAATAGTATGTTTATAGAAGTTATAAAGAGAAGGAGACAGAGTGGAAGGCCATGTCCTATGGCTGTGGGGGATTTCCCTACCTGAACAGAAACCTGACACCAGAAGACTGATCAACATTTTGTTCTTCCTTTGAATAACCTCACACATTCATCCTTCTCAGTTTACTTATGTTTTCGTAGTCCTCCCCTGTATTAAATGACTTTTGGTTTGCAGCTTACAATACAGTATCACACACAGTCTTCAATTTTCAAGCAATTTTACCATGAAAACAAGAATTCAAAATCACTTTTAAGTGCCCTGTCTTTTAAAGTCATCCAAAAGCTTCCTATCCCTCCTAAATGTTATTGACTTGAATGGAAGTACATCTCAGAAAGAGACCTTTTACTTGCAAATATCTGATAATTGTTATTGGAAAATATTCAGAAACATATTCCTAGCTGTAGGCATGCTCATATCTAAAAAAAAATCACAGTTTAAGAGAATGCCACATTCATCAAGCAATATCTTTTTACTCATCCTTATAATGGTACCATGAACTTAATTCTCAAGAGAGTCTAACTGCATTTCTCAACATCAAACCTGGAAAGTTACCTTTTACTCCTCATTTCACAGTACAGTGAGTTAGCCATAGCTAAGAACAAAATAGGAAGTTATTTTATATAACTTTGAGAATATTCTGATTAAAGCTTTCTAAATTTTTTTAAGCTTTCATGTCTGTGTAATCCTGAGCACAATTTCTGCACGCTGTCAAAGCAATAGCTGTGTTTTAATAAAGGTAGGCATTCAGCAAGGATGAATTACTTTGGGACTGCAGCCATAATTACAATAATAATTGGCATTAAGTTAACAATTACGACAAAACCTAAGCTTTTCAGAGCCGAAATCAAGAAGCGTTCATCATGGCTATGCAGTGTTTATTGAAGTGTATTGAATGTTCTTAATCTAGATAGAGCATTAGAAACCAGAGAGAAAAAACATGATTATATTCTAGGTAGCAAAATATTCTCAGGGGATACAGTTATGCTTAAAACAAATTCAGCAGTACAAGTTTTGATTCCAACCTGAGATTTAACCATACTTCAGCTATATTCAAGAAAAGGACTGCCTTGGATCTACTTCTGACTTAACTGCAGTACCATTTTATTCCATAATTTCTATAATAATGCTGATAAAATATATCTACTTGCTATAATTTATTCAACATAATTTAGAAAATAGTAAATTGAGAAATAACACAGCCAATAATGAAAGTTCTCCTGCACATTTCCTTATTTCCTTGGCTGCATGGAATGAAAAAGACTACAAATCCAATCATTTAGGGAGTACTTAAGCTTTCAAGCTAGCAGAGTCTTTTTTTTTTTGGCTTTTTTTCCTTTCTTTTTTTTTTTAACTTTTTTTTTTTTAACATCATTTTTTACTGGTCCCCACAGTGTCACCTTCCCAAGTCCATTCCTTCTCTTAATCCTGTACCACAGCATCAGATTCTTACAATCTGATCTTATGCACCAGACATCACAGTAATTCCTCTTCATCTCATCTCTTCTGGGAGACAACTGGCTTTCTTTTTAACATAGGGACTGAAATTTTACATCTAATGAAGTCTACTTACACTATAAATTTCCTATTGATTAACCATAATAAGGATAATAGCAGCACCCAGAGGCATCTAGAAGAGTCCAGCGGGACTAATACCAAACCAGATACAGAGAACAAGACGGAAAGCCTTGTAAGATTCTCCTGTGATTCTCTTAAATGCCTTACTCAGCCCTTTTGCAAGTTTATTCATTTAGCATTCAGAAGACACTTCCTGTACGTCATTTTGGACTATTCTACAGAGGCAAAAAGGTACGTAATTTAGTACAGATATTTCCCATTTTTACCACGTCCACCTGCAGCACTGTGATGGTTTTAAATGGAATTTTAGTTACAGACTTACCGATATACACCGTATTTCCAGAAAGAGAACCAGGAATGACACTGTATCATCCTAAGGGAAGTTGGTCTCTCTTCTGACTAAAAGATGTAAATTTGTTGCTAGTAGTAGTAATAGTTTTCAGGTGACAGCATTTCAAGATGTATAACTGCAAACATCTATATTAAAAAAAAAAAAAAAAAAGAAGTCGTCAACCAAAATACCAATCCACATAATTTTTTTATTTTTTTTTTAAGAAAACACGAAATTCGGGGTTTGGGTTTGTTTGGTTTTGTGGGGGTTTTTTCCCACATTTTTCTTCAGTTTCTGTTCCATGACGGAAGGCAAACAGCACAACAACTGTCTTTACAGGGCTCCCCACACAGACTGGACTTCATCCTGCTCACATGATCTAAGAACAGACCTATGCTGCTGGGTCAGACCAATCACCCACTTAACCCAGTACCCTGTCTCCAACTAACAGTAGCACAGCAGAGAAATAAAGGTTGAGGACACCTGGCACCTAAATTCTCATCCAAAGCTTTTACACATAACCAAAATACCTTCTTCAAAAATATCAACAAACAAAACAGAACAGACTACTGATTTCTTAATAAACAGTATCAGTAAATTTCCTTTCATATTTCAGAATTTATCTAGGTAATTCCAACGGACTTTTATACCAGCTATCACTGGTTCTTGTTTTGTCCCTTTGAAAAATAATACTTGGTTCACATCTTTTTTTGCACAGGACTCAATACCTTCAGTGGCAGTTCTACAATGCTTGTGATCGAATAACCCTCAGCAAGGAACTAACGTGGCCAGCCTCACCTTTGCATTACACAGAAATTGTAACCCAGTGTAATAGTATGGAAGAGGGACAGGGACAATGAAAGCAAAACAGTTTGTTGATCTGATTTAATCTCTTCTCTGTATCTACCACACAATGTCCGAGACCAGTTCTGGAAACGTCTGCTTAATCTATGATAATGCTTTTCACTGTAATCTTTCTGCTGGTTGGTGGGAGTATGAAGATGGCAAAAGCAAGTATAGTGAAGACTGGGTTGTTGCTTTTCTTCCACATATTTTCCAAATACACGACAAAGCCAAACTGTAATCCTACCACATCAGGAACAAAACCGTACGCATGCTTTATGCCCATCTCTGTATCCCCCAATTCCACCAATGGCCATTTTGCAGCAATCAGTATAGGTGGCCAATAAATGCTAATTATCTTTTGTATTAGCTGTTAAGCATTAAAAAGTATTTTACCTCTAAATTTATTTATTGTTTTATTGGCAGAAAGCCCAGCCTGAATACCAAAAATTGGCACAGGGAAAGGAGGGTTGGCATTGATCAAGATGTCTCATGAAGATTTTCCAATAAATACAATTCTAACTTAAAATAAAATACTTCAAAGCATTCTTCTGTATCTGTTGGATTTCTGTGTTCAAAGAAATCCTTTTAAAAAAAAAAAAAAGTATTTCAGAGACAACATACCCTAGAGAGTTTTTCCAGAGACTGGTATGCTTGCTTCTGTTATTGTTCATCAATTCTGTAGAAATATTAGTAGCTATGGTCACAGTTTGAAGCGTGACCTGCAGTTTTTCTTCTGTCAAGGGCAGGAAATAATCTCGATGCCATACTAGCAATAACAGGAATCCTGATAGCTTAAATAAAGTTTCCACTCTCCCTCCACACTTTCAATTTCCTTTAGATTTCACAATTAGTCTGACCCATCACTGAACTGGAAGTAGTGGCTCCACGTCCCACTTGGTTCTGCTACAACCTAATTAGATTAAGCCCCAGCCAGGCCCCCCAGCAAGCGCACGGGAGGGCGAATCCTCACTTACTGCCCCCTTTACCGCTGGCAGCCTTGGCCAGCCTCCCCACAGCCCACAGCTGGAGGCCCTTCTAGCCTCATAGGTCAACCAGGAGAGACAAACTTCAAGATTGGCCCACGCAGAAAAGGTTCCTCTATCACATCCTTTTTCCCAGCACAATGTATTTTACAGAAATGTTTTTTAGGTTGACAAAGGCGTTTATGCCGTAACTATTGAGATGTGTTGAAGGGTGCAACAGCCAATGCCTACAAACCCAAAGTCAGTTGTCCAGGAGGGAGCACTGCTTTCCTCCCTCCATCATCCCTCATGTAGGCCAAGCCAAACCATAACATTATAAATAACTTCTTTCCAGACCCCCCCCGCCCTGACTCATGCAGGCCTGCAGTATAATTCCCCAGCTATCTCAATAGGGTGCCATGTAATCCAGTAGTCTTAAAAGTAAGTCCTAAACCATTTGAAGCTTCATGAATAAAAGGCTGTAAGTATTTTAAAGCTTTATAAATCAAAAACTAGTAATGTGTTCTAATGCTCTTAAAATGTTTTATGGAAGAAAATAAAAAAACCCCATTTTTTCAAAATATGTATTTTTTCATTTTACAAGGAAATGATTGTGAATGACAAAGATTTATATTGGCTACAACACAATGTAGACAATTACGAAGTGAAGCACTATAACATTATAGGAATAAAAACTGAGTAACTGATTACTAAACAGTAAGATTAATCAACTCTTATTTGTTTAATACAAGTTCACAGTCTGATCCCACATACAGCCATGTACAGACTGCATGCATTTCGTCCCTCTAAAGCCACGTTCTTAAATGACATCAACTCCCGTGCTATTATAATAAATCCTATTACTAGGACCTAGACAATATAAAAAAAAATAAATTACTGTATCTCAGAAAATATTTTATTAGGGCTACTCCTGTTAAACCTAAACATATGCATTTGAGGTTTTGTGTCTTACTTTGAATAAAAAATAATGTGTTGTTTTTTAAACTTGATTTTTAATAAAATTATTTCTCTTTAAACAGTCATCTAAAAATTCTTCATACAACACTCACGACTACATTATCTATTCTTAAAAAAAAAACCAAAACACAAAACTATTAAAATAATCTCTGAGTTAGGTCAGTAACAAATTGCAAGATCCTAATATTCTAACAAAAAATACTATTCAACTGCTTTGAGGAAGTAATTTTCCACTTGTTTAAGCATCAGGTTGATGGAGATTTAAATGTTACAGTTACTACAGAAAGATAATCTGGAATTCCTTCTCTCCTGCAAACAAGGCCAAAGTGGGAGATTTGCAATATGCAATTAGTATAATGTACATTGGCTAGAAAAATAACAACTTGGTAAATGAAGGTGCTGAGCATCAGCCAGGAAATATTAATACTCTGCACATAATGAGTGCTACAATTGGTCAAAGTACTTGTAATCAGTAGTAAGAACTGTCAGAGAAGTATATAAATACTGTTTTAGTCTTAGTTCAAAGGTAGACAGTCCACTAAGATGAGTAATTTTCACCTGATGTTAGATTTGTATCAGATTTTTATTTAATAGATTATTCTCCTGTGAATTTACTACCCATTCCAGAGATCACATTATTTTAAGTTCTTTAAACAGCTTTCTTCTCTTTTGAAAACACGAACAGATTTGCTTCTACAGAAAAATTAATTTGGGCTTTGCCAGTGGATTCATGCTTCACTTTATTATTCCTTTTTTAGGTCTCCTGCTGGTCCCACACTGAGTTAAAGAACCTTGATTTTTATAGACTATTCAACTGCAGTGAACAGCTAGCATACTGTGCACACAGTCTGCATAAAACATTCATACGTCAGAATTAGGATCTTACACTAAATCCTTTATTTGACTTCAGGATGTCTTTTCTCCTCAGAGACTTAACAAATGTTAAATATTTTCTTTGGAGTACCTCAAAAAATTCCACATGCAATCGGTTCAATCTGCACACTGATTCATAATCAAGATAATATATGGACTCATATTCCCTTGTCTTCTTACTTGTAGGGCAATAGGAAATCATCAGAATTACACTGTACATCGCAAGCCTGTAGGGATATTTTTTCCCCCTCCTCTTCAGAGTTTTGAGTAAAAGTAAGCAGCTTCTGCATTCACAAAAAATTAGAGAATAACTCTTCATTACCTTGAATATAGAAATCAGAGCAGCAGAACAAAAGTGGTACTATAGGAAAGTAGAATCTTAACAAAGGATATCATCCCTTAAGAAACAATAAATCAAGACAGAGAAATTAAACACCTCCTAGATGTAGCATCTTACTCTTCAACTGCTGTCTAGGCACTCCATCAATTCTTGGCTATGTGTCAAATACAAGTACTGCCTCTACTTTAAACAGAATCCTTAAAGAGATGTGTTAATCATTACTGTTCCCTCTATCATGAGTGAAGAGACAATCATCATTACAGTATCAAAATACTTGAAAAGGTAGCTAGGATGTAATCATCAGATACAATTTCCTACCCTAAAGAAGGAAAGCACCTTTTAGGCACTATATCTTACTATATCCCACTACAGGACTTCCAGCTCTCTGGAACCTACTCAAACCTTATTTTTGAAGTGTACCCAACCATGCCAAGTTAGACCTGACCACACCCCAAACAGTACTTTGGGGATGACTTCAAATACTTCTTAAGTAAGAGTTTTCCATCTGCAGACAGATCACTGATTCCTGAGAAAAATTATTCCCACATTGCACCTTTAAATTTTTAATATACATTTTTCCACAACAACAACAACAAAATACTAGTCCAACCACCAGAAAACCCCATGAATATTTCCAATGTATTACTTGGGTTAAAAAAAAAATTAAATAAAAATGTTACTGAGGACTACTTAAACATGATGAAATTTTACCTGATCCAATATGGTTCGCTTGATAAAGGAAAGCCAAATTCAAAAGGCATCACGTCCCTACAAAGAAATGCTGAAAATCACAGCCGGCTTTAATACGCCTCATTCACCTAAAGTTTGTGTATTTAATCACAAAAACTGAGAAAACAACAGGGAGAAGCCTGGTTTGAATTATTTCCCATTTTACTAGGTTTTTCACTGAATTTCACTGAATTTCTAGAGTTGGAAGGGACCATAGAGATCATCTAGTCCAACTCCCCTGCTGAAGCAGGATTGCCCAGAGCTAGAGCATGTTACTCAGGACTACATCCAGGCGGGTTTTGAAAATCTCCAAAGAAGGGGACTCCACAACCTCCCTGGGCAGCCTGTTCCAGGGT